CGAAAAACAAATATGACGGACATGAGCCAATAAAAACCATTGAACCACAGGCCCCTGACATGAGATAGACACACAAAGAATGTAACAAAGCTTTCTGGGTACTGAATTAATAAATCTACAGTAAGGTTGCAATAAAAAATATCAAAATTTTACGTGATAAACATATGAAAAAAAGATTTTCGATTATTGCTAATGAGACACTATTTAATAACAAACAACATAGCTGTGATTAAATTCATATTTGAAATAATACACATCTACCGTTGCAAACTTCCCACATGTGCTATCCAGCACTTTGGTTAAATTGGTCAACATTGAGGTCCAAAAGGTCCAGCATTCAACTTTGTTTGATTTCATCAAAAATTGATTTATTCGGGTTCTTGTATATGAAGAATCTAGCCGTGTATTTTGATTTTTAATTTTGGGTCCCGTTTTCAAATTGGTCCACAGTAAGGTCTAAAGGGTCAAAAATTAAACTTTTGTTTGCTTTCAACAAAAATTTAATTCTTGGGGTTCTTTGATATGCTGAATCGAAACATGTATTTAGATTTTTGATTTAGGCTCAGTTTTGAAGTTGGTCCAAATCGGGGTCCATAATTATACTTTGTTTGATTTCAACAAAAAAATAATACTATTATATGGGGTTCTCTGATATGCTGAATTAACCGTGTATTTAGATTTTTGATTTTGGGTTCCGGTATCAAATTGGTCCACATTGAGGTCCAAAGGGTCCGAAATTAAACTTTGTTTGATTTCATCAAACATTGAATTCTAGAGGTTCTTATATATAATGAATCTAACCATGTATTTAGATTTTGGATATTGGACCATAATGGGTAAATGTCAAATTTCAAATTTTTAAGTTCTTAGACCACATTCTTTCTGTGTCAGAAACCTATGCTTTGTCAAATATTTAATCACAATCCCAATTCAGAGCTGTATCAAGCTTGAATGTTGTGTCCATACTTGCCCCAACTGTTCAGGGTTCGACCTCTACGATCGTATCCAGCTGCGCCCAGCGGAGCATTTTATTTTTTATATTTGTGTTTATTTCACCTGGCCTTAAAGGCCATGATATCTATTGCTATCACTTGGCGGCCGTCGTCGTAAACTTAAAAAAATCTTCTTCTGAAATTGTGGGCCAAATGTTACCAAACATGACCTGAATGTAACTTTAGGCAAAATTTCTGTATTTGCCTGTCCCAAGTCAGGAGCCTGTAATTCAGTGGTTGTTGTTTGTTGCTGCTGTATATCATATTTGTATTTTGTTCATTGTTTTTTTAAAGGCAGTGCTTTAATGTCTTTCTGGTTGCCGTGTTAATCTTTCTTTCCGCGATATCCAACTTATCTACGTGGGGGGTCATTAGGCTCCAAGTAGATCCGGAAAATGTTGATTCTCTCCTCTTCTTATTGTGATATAAAATGTTTTTTGTTTCATTTCATTTACATTGGGAAATAGAGAAACGATCATTGTGTTTTGTTAGTTTTAAAAACTTTTGATATATTTGTATTTTACATTATAAGCAGTCAACCGATTGACAAACTAGAATTATTTGAATTCCGTGTGGAAAGAGGTCGGGTTAATTTCGAGTGTTATCTGCAATCTAGATGTTTATAAATCATTTCAGTCGTTGATATAATAATTAAAGGTCGACTAAACATGAATTATATTATATAATTTAAAGCGCATTTCTGTTTATGCACGCGAACCCGTCTAACGTTATTGTTATTTCGCAGTTATATAAAGTAGCAAATTATCGTTCCTGAATAGGTGGCGCCGTGGTAGCCGATTCTGTTGCATTTTTAATTAACGATGCCAAGTACTTGTTGTTGTGTACCTGGATGAGGACATGCATTTCCAAATGACTTAAAAAGAAGGAAAAGTTGGATCAACGCCATGGCCCATACGCAGTTTGGACGAGAACACGATTAAATCGTGGAGTCCATCTCAATCAGCTGTTGTTTGCAAGGCACATTTTACTGAAAAAGACTACGAAACTATTCATGGTAAAACTCTATTTTCTTTTTAAAATCTATAGTTATATATGTAATCGCCATGCGAATAAACCAAAGTCTGTTTACAACCGCAATTATCGTTTTAGAATAAAAGGGGGTGGTTAATTCAAGACGTCATAATTTTTTGGATTACGATTCAATGTGATCTGTTTGAGATTTTTTGGTGCTTGCTACAATTATAATGATTTCTTTCAAGAGGTATATCATACTGAGAATTATTTTAGCAGTAATTATGCTAATGTAGTAATGACAGGAATGCATAAGCTATGCCTCATAGACTTTCTTGAAAAATATCAATGACAATGTTAACAGGAACAAAACAATGACATGCTCTCATCTATATTATAGTTATTTAGGTACAAACAATGTTTGTTTGTTGCATACGTCTCTCATTGTTTGTCCTTTGGATTTACATAACATACATTTTGATGTACATTGAATCAGGCTAACATAGTTTTATCTAGATTGTAATGAATAAATCTAGTTAATATTTTGCCAGGTAGTACAAAGTATGCATTGCTAATGGAAGTTCATTTAATTATAAAAAAAACTAATGTTTTATAACCTTTTTCAGGGCGCAAACCCACCATACAGAGACTTAAGTCTACTGCCATTCCCAGCCTATTTTCCTGGACCAAGCAAGAGTCCGAATCGTCCGCAAAAAGAAAAATGAGGGCAGTTTCCTGTGAAAACAAAAGAACTAAACTTGATGAATATTGTAATAGAAATCTAGAGGAAAGTTTTGATTGTAAAGTTGGTTTTCTTGAAGAAGTTATTCATACTGCAGACAGGATTTATGACTGTCCACCACCAACTGCCGAGCTAATGTTGAGCTTCACAGATGGAATTACGCAAACACCATCAATACCTATATTTTCAGCAGAGAATTTTGAAATGAAGACACGTGACACAGCCATGCATTTTTATACCGGTTTAGAGGTGTATACTAAATTTTTATTTGTTTTGACCACACTTGGTCCAGCAGCACATTGTTTGAGATACATGTATTTTCAAATTGATAGGGTGTCATTTGAAAATCAGATATTTTTAAGACTTTGATGAAATTGAGGCATTATACAACCAACTTTGAACTGTCTACATTCTAGATTGAAACTAGTGTTAAGAATATTGTGTAAACATGGATTGTTTTTATGTCTAAACAGTGGCGTGAGGCTAACACTTGGCCATTTAGTGGTTTAGTCGGGTATTTTTCGCCATTCAACTTTAAATTAAAGTTTCCTACAACTTGGATTATTATTGACAGCACAGAATATCCCGTGATAAAACCTAAAGCTCCTAGAGCTCAGGCAACCTTTTCACCATATAAAAACAGAAACACTGAAAATACTTGTATGTTCGACACCTGGTGGTTTAGTCAACCATGTCTCTAATGCATATGTTGGTTGTACCAGTGACTGTGAAATAGTTGAAAGATGTAGAATAATTATGTGATGGCAGACAAAGGTTTAAATATGCAAGATTTGTTTGCTCACTTTTTTCAAAAAAAGAAACAGAATTAGTTCCAAAACTCTTATACGGGATAGAAAAGTCTCCAATTAACACGTGCACATAGAGCTAATTATTGGACTTGGCAAAACATACAAAATTCTAATAAATCCTATGAATGGAACTGAAACAAAACTTTCATCTGAAATAACATTTAGTTGTTTTATGTTGTGTAATTTTAGAACTTGTATTGTGCCAAAGGATGCATAAATAAAAGTGACGCAGTGAAGTTTGTTCTGATATACATTTTGTATAAATATAAATATTATTTACAATTTCATGCACATGTAAATTGTAATGCATATAAAAATAAGGAGATGTGGTATGATATTCAGTGAGTTTATCGAACCAAAGTGTATAAGAAATGGGTTAAGCAGTTACAGGTGTTACTGTCACTGTACAATCTCCAACAATTAGAAAAACTTGTACCGTGTAAAAAATTACAGAGATCTTACAACTAAGTTTGACTTTGGAGAATTGTTTATATCTGTTGATGTAAATATAAAAAAGAAGATGTGGTATGATTGCCAATGAGACAACTCTCCACAAGAGACCAAATGACACAGAAATTAACAGCTATACATGTAGGTCACAGTACGGCCTTCAACAATGAGCAAAGCACATACCGCACAGTGAGCTATTAAAGGCCCCGAAATGACAATGTAAAACAATTCAAACAAGAAAACTAACGGCCTAATTTATGTACAAAAAATTAACGAATAACAAATATGCAACACATAAACAAACGACAACCACTGAATTACAGGCTCCTGACTTGGGACAGGCACATACATGTACATACAGAATGTGGCGGGGTTAAACATGTTAGCGGGATCCCAACCCACCCCCTAACCTGGGACAGTGGTGTAACAGTACAATATAAGAACGAACTATGAAAATCAGTTGAAAGAGGCTTAACTCATCAGATGGATAAATACAAATACAAGTGGACGTGGCCGGGTAGTTGTACAACCAAACAACAAAAAGACACTAAGTACAGATCTGAGAGTACTCGCATTTACTGACATCTAGTTCAAATCCACTAACAACTGATCTAAGACTAAATTATCAATCCGTAAGCTCCCTTTAGAATTTTATAAATTTTACATTTTACATTTCTGAGTTATGGGGTTTTATTCATTAAAAAAGGGGGGATTTTCCAGTTTTTGGACAACAACTCAAAAATGCTTTAAGCAGTTCGCATGAAACTTTGGTGAATTATTTATAGCTATTGATGTAATCTCCCTATTGATTTTCATAAATTTCAAATATGACATTGAGAAGAAATTGAACTTTATTTGTTTATAGTCTGGCAACAGATTTATTAAGTATTGCGCAACAGCACAGTGTATTGCACAACAGCAAGAAATCTTTAATTGAATATAAATTCAATTCATATAACCGATTTCAAGTTCTTTGACTACATTTATTCAGAAACTATAATATGTCAAATATTTAATAACAATCCAAATTCAGACCTGTATCAAGCTTGAATATTGTGTCCATTTTTGCCCCAACTGTTCAGGGTTGGACCTCTGCGGGTGTATCCAGCTGCGCTCAGCGAATCAGTTTATTTCTTAATTAAGAACTCCTTTTTGTCGCAGAAAGCTCGACATAGGGATAGTGATCCGGCGGCGGCGTTAGCTAACTACGTATAAAAGCTTAATATTTCAGAAGGTAGAAGACCTGGATCCTTCCTACTTTCTATATAGATGCCTTATGTTACGAAGTTTTCGTACGTCATATGTCCATTGTCCTTGACCTCAGGTTCAGTTACTACTTGAAAAAGTTAAGATTTTTAGTATTCTTAATTTCTCTCTTAATATGAGTAATAGGACAACTATATTTGGTATGTGCGTACCTTGCAAGGTCCTCATGCCCGTCAGACAGTTTTCACTTGACCTCGACCTCATTTCATGGATCAGTAAACAAGATTAAGTTTTGGTGGTCAAGTCCATATCTCAGATACTATAAGCAATAGGTCTAGTATATTCGGTGTATGGAAGGACTGTCCAACTGGCAGGTGTTATCTGACCTTGACCTAATTTTCATGGTTCAGTGGTTATAGTTAAGTTTTTGTGTTTTGGTCTGTTTTTCTTATACTGTATGCAATAGGTCTACTATATTTTGTGTATGGAATGATTGTAAGGTGTACATGTCTAGCTGACAGGTGTCATCTGACCTTGACCTCATTTTCATGGTTCAGTGGTCAAAGTTAAGTTTTTGAGTTTTGGTCTTTTTTTCTAATACTATATGCAATAGTTCAACTATATTTGGTGTATGGAAATATTTTATGATCTATTTGTCAGTCACGCAGGTTTTTTTTTTTACCTTGACCTCATTTTCAAGGTTCATTGCTCAGTTTTAAGTTTTTGTGTTTTGGTCTGTTTTTCTTAAACTATAAGCAATAGGTCAACTATATTTGTTGTATGGAAGAATTGTTAGCTGTACATGCCTGCCTAGCATGGTTCATCTGACCTTGACCTCATTTTCTTGGTTAATTGGTCAATGTTTAGTTTACTTGGTTAATGTTAAGTTTATGTGACAGTTGTAATAAAGCTTTATATTTAGGACTATCAACATAATATCAATGATTAGTAAAGAAGGCGAGACATTTCAGCGTGTGCACTCTTGTTTCATTCATAAATTACTTTATACTTGGAAATATAATTTTGCTTGGAGTTATAGTTTCTAAAAAAAAGTATTGTCATTGAAAGAGTTGACATGTTGCAATGTACATTTATTCTACATAGTTCTATGGTACCAAATCAAAAGTTTATATAAAAGAAAGAAGTCAAAGGTTTCCCATCATAGTTTAGTTACATACATTTTGTTTGTACCTGAGGTTGTTGAATATAGATCATTATATAAATAAGGAGATGTGTTATGATTGCCAATGAAACAACTATCATCCATACATTGTACTTACCAGTAACAAACCACATTTGCAAAGTTGAATAAAATACAGTTGATAACATTTACTTATTACTAAAAAGAAAATGCCAAACTATTTTAAACAGTATTTGACTATAAACATAGATACAAAAGGTACAAACTGGACATAATGCACTAGTTCATAAACAAGTGAGAACAATCGCCTTCATATGGTGCTCAGAATATGACATCCATAAAACTTGTTCAATATCATTAGAGAACTCTAAATCTTAAATACTGAAAGCCACCTCTGATAAGTACAATGTACTATGCAAGATAATGATATAACTGGACTAAAAATACACACAACCTGTAATTAACTGCCTTTACAGCGCTTTCGCGCTTTGATTACATAAATCAGGCCGTTAGTTTTCTTGTTCGAATTGTTTTACATTTGTCATTTCGGAGCCTTTTATAGCCGACTATGCGATATGGCTTTTGGTCATTATTGAAGGCCGTACGATGACCTATAGTTGTTAACTTCTTTGTCATTTGGTCTCTAGTGGAGAGTTATCTCATTGGCAATTATACCACATTTCATATTTTTATATTGATTAACAATTGTATCTTGGAATTTTCTCCTTCAAGAAACATGGCCGCTGATTCTAAAAATAGAACATAGGGATGATTGCATTTCTTGCCTTATTTCTCAAAAAACTAGAGTAGTTAGATCAAAAGTGATGCGGGCAAGGTCTATCTTCTATGGAATTTTCAGAAAAAACTAGACAACCCAGTTTGGAGTCTCCCCTAGAAAAGTCCGTTGTTAGTAGATTTAGACGTGTTGTTTTCATTTTTGACTTTTATCTAATAAACAAAGGAAGATTTCGCATTGGTTGATTATTATCTATAGAGAGAAACTTTGAATAGGAAGAATGACCAGAACAATAAGATCTACAAACATGTTAACTGGCCGAAATTGTCAATTGACCCCTTATAGGAGTGATTTCTATTGAAAAACAAATATTCAGAATTTTTATGTAGCAAGGCCGAAATTGTCAATTGACCCATTATGAAAAACAGTATTCGCAAAAATACCGAACTCCAAGGTAATTTAAAAAGGGAAAGTCCATTAAACCTGACAAAAACAAACGATCGACTATATCCACCAGCGGATATCCCGACTTGGTTCAGGCATTTTCTGAAGAAAAGGGTGGGTTAAACCTGATTGAATGCCCTTTGCCTGTTATATATATGTATACCTCGAAAACTAAAATAGAAAGTGGAAACAGGAAAACTATCAGCAATACACGATCTACAAAAATGCAAATATGACGGAAATCATTTGATGAATCGTTCATGGTTATTGGCCTTAAATGACGATTTTATACTGCGGGCTCATTATTATTCTTGGGATAACAATTTTCGTGGATATATGTGAATCACGAATTTAAATGTTCATCGAAGTACAAATTTTATAAAGACTTGTTGAATGCAAAACCACGAAATAAAATTTCTATGAAAATACAATTTTTTCCTTAAACCACGAAAATTGGTACCCACGAAATAAATTCTCAGTGCTTATTTCAATTTTTATACGCCCGTCAATTTTTGACGGGACGTATTATGGTATATAAATGTCCGGTGTCCGTCCGTCTGTCTGTCCGTCTGTCCGTCTGTCTGTCCGGCGTAAACATGTCGCACCGTAACTTGAGAATGACTTATCCAAATTTCATGAAACTTAACATAGTTGTTTCTTATGATGGTCAAACTATCTGTATACTTTTTGGTGAAAATAAGATTAAAACTTTTTGAGTTATGGGACTTAGTAACTAAAACAGGTGTGTGTTTTTTTTCACATGTCGCGCCGTATCTCAAAAACAATTTATGATTATTGCTTAAAACTTTACACACTTCTTAGTTATATTAATCTTAAGATCTGTATACTTTTTGGTGATGATTCAAAATTTTATTTTAGAGATATTGAGTATTTTGTTAAAAAAGGGGGAGGGGTTTTTCACATCTTGCGCCGTATCTCAAAAACAGTTTATGATTATTGCTTAAAACTTTACACACTTCTTAGTTATATTAACCTTAAGATCTGTATACTTTTTGGTTTTGATTCAAAATTTTATTTTTGAGATCTTGATTTTTTTTTTAAAGGGGGGTTTTCACATGTCGCGCCGTATCTCAAAAACGATTTATGATTATTGCTTAAAATTTTACAAACTTCTTAGTTATATTAATCTAAAGATCTGTATACTTTTTGGTTTTGATTCAAAATTTTATTTCAGAGATATTGAGTTTTTTGTAAAAAAAAAAGGGGGTTTTCGCATGTCACGCCGTATGTCAGAAACTATTTATGCTTATTGCATCAAAATTCACACACAAGACGACGGGCGTATCATGCGCTCATGGCACAGCTGTTTATTAGTCTATTATATTAAAACAGCAAAATGAGTAGTGCCGTTTTCTTTTGTATTTGTTTCACTCACAGGGTACAAATCTCAAAGCTGTCAATTGCTACTGGGAATTGAATATTAGAGGGTTTATATTTTTTCTCAATTTTAAATGTTTCCATAAAATCAAAAAAGTTATTCAGCGCTGCCTGTTGACGTTGAAGTAATTTTGATACAAAATAGCGTTTGTCAAATTTTGCATCGAAGGGCATCGCTAACCACAATGAACTGTTTTTTTTTATCAGGAAGACAAACAATAGCTTTACTTCCAACATAGTTTGGTTTTGGTTAAGGAAGTTATCTCAAAATTGCGGTTTTGGCCATTCTTCAGACGTTAATGTTATAATTTGATGACATGTTTCATCTAAGCAAAACTATTGTAAGAATCTTAAAGTAAAATGTAGATACACTTTGCCAAAATAGTGATTGATTCTTAGGAGCCTCCGGTTTGTTCATGCTTATCAACCTACATGCCTGCAATAGCTAAAAAGAGGTCGAAAGATAAAATGCATCAAATTGCCTTTTATCTTAAAATTCTTCATAGATAGAGAAATTCTGACAAGACTGAAAAATGGTCAAAATGTCAAGCAAGATCTACCTTCGTTCCCTTTCCACCAAAATTATCAGATTATCAGATTACTCCTTAATTGAGTTATTGCCCTCATATTGAAGGAGAGATAGGTAAAACCAACATTACCTGCATATGAAAATAATACTATTTATTTCGTCCTCCAAAAGCAATTTTATGGATTTAGCTTCATCAGGAACGCTCACACTTAAAAATTTGAAAGCCAAGCATGTATATGACATGAACACGTGAATAGCTGTGACCAAAAAGGGACATTAAAATAGACAAATTCATCCAAGGTCAACTTTGCCAGAGGGAATTGGAACCTTAGTTTCATGATAATTTTCTAATTTATCGGAAATTTTAGTAAAAGGTTTGTTATAAATTATGTCAGTACCGACGCAATGACTACTGAGTTGGTGATAAACTCGGGGACGGAGACTAACAGTCCACCAGCAGTGGTAGTAAATGAAAATAACACTATTAATTTCTGCATGTTTCTTAAGTCCAAATTTGGAAGACAATTTAACAAAATACACTATTCTCATACTTAGATAAACGTTAACGTAAGAGCTAATCTAAGAGAAAGCCATGTAAAAAGACCCAGAAGCAATGTTGTCCAGATTATTTATATCTGTGACAGTAAATTCCATCATGTAACCGTCTGACATTAGTTGTTTTGTAGAACCTAAAACACCCCCATTAAAAAAAATCTATCGTGTATATGTTTT